GATTGCTTTGGAACGCTCCCGCCAAGGGATCGCCGTCCCCTCCCAGCTGGGCATGGCACTGCCTCCACTCGCCACCACTGAACCCTGCAAGGCCGAGAAGACTTTCTGACCGTGCCTGCCGGGAAAGCCGGGGGCTGCCTGCAGCGCTCTCAGCCTCCCCGCTCGCTGCCGCACACACACAGGCGCGCCTCGCCCTCTCCCCCCCCCGGCTCCTCACGCCGTCTCTCCCTCTCCCTCTCTCAGACACACACAGGCGCGCACGCTTTCTCTCACTCTGCCGTTACCCGGAGGTGCACTGATAGCCATTAATGAGGGGGGAAAGTTAAGAGATTAAACCAATATGAATCATCGTTGCTCGTAGCAGTGCCCGATCCAGAGCAGAGCAGAATCCAGCGAGCACCCCTGCAGGAATGGAGTCGGTAAAACAAAGGATTTTGACCCCTGGTAAGGAGGGATTGAAGAATTTTGCTGGAAAATCGCTTGGTCAACTCTACAGGTAAGACTGAGATCTCTTACAGGACCGTACTTCCTAGAAATAATTGGAAGGAGGTTAACAGTCAGCTGCTGAAGGAGGTTGAACGCTTTGGGGAGGTTAGTGGTGGAGGGGCTGGGAGCTGTTGAGACACTGCTGATATAATCTGGATCCTGGAAACTAGTGCTTAAACCTCTCAATATGGCACCCTTGTAACTTCTCTATCTGATTCGTAGATGGTGTCAGTATGTAGCAAAAGATTACCCCATCTTTCTCCCACAAAACCAGGATCCCATCTTGAAATTATAATCAGGAGAGCAGCTCCCTATATTTTTGTTCTGTGTTAATTTTGCAATGCAGTCACAGGATCTTTCCCCCTGCCCTTACCAATCATTAAAAAATAATAATAATAATCTTTCCTGGTTTCGATTAGTCTTGTCCCTTGTGTAATTCGTCGTCAGAGGAAGATAAATATGGAGATGTATAAATAATTGATATCCGAACTATTTTTTTTTCTCCTGAAGCTGAAACATATAGAGGGATGTGTTTAATTATTTATCCGTCTGCCTTGAGAAGCATCCACTTGTCTTATAAGTAATACACAGCTGAAATTGCTAAACTCGAAAACATCACTCGACGGTATGTTTCTGTGTGTACAAAATATTTCTACCATCTTCGAGCCCTGTACACACAGATAAACAAGCCCAAATTCTCATGTACCTAAAAAGTGTATGCACTGAAGTTGACACATCGTGCTTCATCCAATCTGGCGACTTTAGTGACCTCCAGGACGTCTGAGAATAGTCTGTGAAATTCCAATGTATTTTCGGTTGTTCCCTCTGCTAGAAATTACCCTGAAGGTGGGGGTTTTTTTTCGAATTACAGATTAAAGATAACTGCGGATTTATCTGCCTGGGGTAGGTCACGTAAAAGTCTTTTTTCCATACCTATGCGGCAGTGTTGGGCACAGGCACAAGGCTGTTCCACAGCATGAGTCACAACTTCTGCTGCCATTTTCAGGGAAGGGGACATATCAGTGAAGTGATAAGGACAAAATTAAGTAGTAGGAAGGGCATAATTTTGAAAAGCCAAAAGCAAAACCAAAGCCATCAACAACGCAGTGAATATCCTATAGTTCTGGGTCATATTTAAGTCATTTTCAATGGCCAGAAAAAAGAAAAATAAATATTGATAATCCAGAATAACTGCTTAAAATATAATTAAGGAAATAAATCTCTTTTTCGCCCTAAAATACTCTACAACATATAAATAAAAGGATCATGTCTACTGCTTTTTATATAGTCACACAGTGAATGATGGAGAAACGGTGTTTGTATTTTCCAGCAAAACTCAGTTTGAACTCCCCCCTCGATTAAGAAAATGCCCGATTTCATGATCTTTTTCGAGGCACGGGAGCGAATTATTCTGTTTCCGATTCTTAGAATTAAAATAGTTTTCCTGTCCCTTATACCTCAGTGTCTTCCCGAAGACAAGAAGCTCATTCAGGGATAAGACACTTCTACACCATCCTTTATTCACACGAACGAATTTTGAACGTAAAACCACCGTGTTTTGTTTTCTTCACAACCTTAAGACATTTCTGAATGCCGCGGTCTTTAAGCATGGGAATAATTCTCCCAGCAAAGAAAAATCGGGAGAATTTCAACTGAGTTAACTATTGAAGAAAATCCCTGTTTTTTTCTCCAAAACACGGAGAACATTTTGAGCTTTATTCTGCTAATTGTAACTGCCCCATTAGCCGGATGGGTTGACCTCCAAGGGATACTCCTCCGAGGAGAATTCCTGATGTGAGAAAACTCTCCTAAAGCGGGGGTGAGGGAAGCGGTAGGAATGTCCAAATTGTCGGGAAATGGTCACATATTCGGTCCTGAAGACGATGGAGCTAGGATGGAAACGGTTAGGGGTTTTCTGTCCTTTAAATATCTCAGTGACTGCAAAAGAAGATCAAGAGATTCAGCATGGGACACTTGCTCGATAAACCCGATTTTTCTTATTACCAACACGGCATTTTTAAAGTTTCCCCAGAAAAGAAGAAATAAAACGAAATATTCTAAGTCACTTTTCGTGGATGGCAGGGGGTTTTCCGTATTTTTGTGTTGATTCGAATAACCATTCCCTTTCAGATTCCTGCACATGATTTTCTGGGAGATAGGATTCTCATGTAAAAACAAGGGAGTGGGGGCAATGAGATCGAGCGGAAAACCGTTCTGGGAAGGTTAAACCTGCCAAGGGACCACACGCTCACCCCTTGTAGCTGATGCGATCTTTTGGAAAGACTTCTCCAGAGCTGGCAGTTGTCTAAAGACGGTCGTGTTTTCTTCCACTGTATGTGACAGCCATTTTGCAAATCTAAAATAAGTAGCAATATCGCCCCTCCTCCCTTTCTGTTCATATTTCTTTTGTTCCCAAACCAGAAGCGAGATGTAAACCAAGATCATCCCTCTTGGTGTTTCTAATACAGCAAGGAGGGAATTAAACCTTCTCCAAAAGCCTGTTTCAGTTTCCATCGTGTACCTCTTGGGTTACCCAACATGGCGCCTCTGCAGTGGTTACAGATGATGTCTTCTTAATGCGTCCTACATATTTAAGCAGAAGTCTTTAATGATAGATGAGCAATTCTCAGCTGGAGCTCCTCCCTGGGCTTCTGCGGCGGGTTGGAGGGGGGAGTCGGGGATGAGTAATCCTGACTCCCACAGGTCATTGCTAAATAACACTTGAAGGTGAATGGAAAACAAGGAAAAAAAATAAAAAAAATCCTCAAATCAATCCAAACCGAGCCCAAGGGGCGGGGGGAGCGGTGAACTTCAGCCTTCGGCTTCCCGAGGGGGCTGTGTGCTCAGGCGGCCAGGGCTTGACTTTCCCTTCTTGTGTCGGGCAGAGTCCTAGAGAAGAGGCAGAAGCCCGGGGACACCATCGAGCTGACGGAAGATGGGAAACCCATGGAAGTACCCGAGAAGAAAGCCCCGCTGTGTGACTGTACCTGCTTCGGGCTGCCCCGGAGGTACATCATTGCCATCATGAGTGGACTGGGATTCTGCATTTCCTTCGGGATCCGATGTAACTTGGGAGTGGCCATCGTGGATATGGTCAATAACAGCACCATACACCGAGGAGGAAAAATTATTAAAGAGGTGGGAACCCTTTCCTCGTAAATCCCATCTCCTCCCAGTACAACTCCCAGGTCCAGCACCTCAGCGCAGGGGAGATGGGCTCGGACG